GGGACCTGAGTAACATGTTGGCTAAGGATTTAACCTTGACCTTCATCGTTAGTGCCAAGGTCAAAGTTGGCCCTGAAAAAATTCAAGAAACATATTGAGAAATATATGATATGAAAGGGTCTGGAGAAAACTGACAGCAAACCTTTTATTTTTTCAGTAAGACGCCACGCTACGACGACACAATGACACCATAAAGTTTCACACAATCAAACACTGCATGAATATATCTTAAAATCTAGTTTGTTTGTTTTTTACAGCTTGTAGAAGCCAAAGATTTCAGACAATTCTGCTCCAGTCATGTGGGTAAAAATAATAAAGAGATAATAAATTTTCTTTTGTAATGTTTCAAGGTCGTAGGTTAAAGATCGGACAGGTTTTAAAGCAGGCTGACGTCAGCATGTTGTATTAAAAATATTATAAAACATTAAGGTTTTAGTGAAGCCCTTGGCCTTCGGGGGGAGTTGCGCTCAGTGCTTTTGTTTGTCAAGGTTCTGACAATGTTTGCATCTCTCCAGGTATGACAACAGGTGTCGTCACCTGCGGGCCGACCAGGTCCAGGAGAAGCTGGCTCAGGGAGCTTCATATGTGATCAGGTTTCTTCTGGAAGAGGGCATTGAGCCTTTTCAGGATCTGATCTTTGGATGGAATCGGCATGAGGTTGCACAGGTTGGGCTTTTCACTGGGCTTCATGCTAAACGTGTAACCATGTCTAATAAAGCTAACGTTTTTGTTGTTTTTTAATGTTTGACTATAAATATTCTTGCTTGATTGAAATAAATTTAAAATTTCTTGAGGTTCAGATTGTAACTGTGCTTTTAAAACAAGCGTATCCATATAATGAGCTGTTAACAGTGGTACCTGAATGCAAAAACCTGCCTTTAGTTTTCAGTCTATCTGCCAGATTTCTTCTGGCTCCTCCTGCTTTTAAACACATCCTCTGTCATTTTCTTTTAGGTGGAGGGGGATCCCGTGGTGATAAAAGCAGACGGTTTCCCCACCTATCACCTCGCCAACGTTGTAGATGATCATTACATGAAGGTCAGCCATGTCCTGCGGGGTTCAGAGTGGCTGATCTCCACCTCCAAACATCTCCTCATGTACCGGGCTCTTGGATGGCAGCCGCCCACGTTCGGACATCTGCCGCTGCTGATGAACAAAGATGGCAGTAAGCTGTCAAAGAGGCAGGGGGACATATTCATCGAAACATTCAAGAGAGACGGAGTCCTGCCAGAGGCTCTGTTGGATACAACAACCAACTGTGGATCTGGATTCAACAGTGAGTGATGGGAGGCTCTGCAAAACTGTAAACAGACTATAAACAGTGATCATTATATCAAAGTCCAACGTCTTGTGTTCCCATATAGCTAATCGAATGGGAAGAAGGATAGATGAACTGATTTCTGAGTTTAACCCTTCAAAGATCACGACTCACTCTGCTTTGTTAGACCTCGAGAAGCTGCCAGAGTTCAACAGGTGAGTCAGAACTTCACTTTAAGCTTATACGTCCTGGTTTTATTGCCTACGTTCTGTTTATTTAGGCCTTATTTCATTTTTTAAAGCAAAAGACGAAAGATGCATGATGTCTGTTCATTCTTCAGTCTGTTGAAGTGATCGCGTTCTATCATGCAGACGTGAGTCACTCTTACTTTCACATGATACTGACTGAATGAGCCACAGAACTATGTACTCGGTACTCTGAGAGTGCATCAGTGCAGATTTTTCATACTTGCCAAGTTCTTGATCTTTGATAATTAAAGATGTGGCATCCTGGACTGGTTCTTATACAGCTGTTTTTATATTTTTACTGCAGTGAACACGAGCGTGTTCATGAAGACCGGCTTTGAGGCTTCAGTACTGTTAATTTGGCCAGTGTGAGACCATGAGACACAGACTGAAAGGAGTCGTCTAAAACCCAGTGCTTTTTTTTTTCTTTTCATTTTATTGCCAACAAATGTCCCAACAAAAAACTTTTGCCTTTAATGAGCAATTCAAGATACAGAACAGCCTAATTCAGACTTCCTCTGGTGATGCATAAATGTTTCCAACTGGAACATGAGGAAGTCTTATTAAAAAGAAGAGATGAAAAGGAATGTATAAATACATATTCATTTTAAGAGGTAAATGAAACTCTCTGTGATTATGACAGACTTCACCTGCAGCAGCGAATTGAAGATGAGCAGCAGTGTGATTTGCTGATACAAGATCTGCGGGAGCAAATCTATCAGGCCTACGCAGAACAGATCCAGGATAAGGATGTGCTGCACGAGGATTACATCAGGCGGGTTCTGCGTCTCCGTAAGGTAACCATGGCTTTACTCTGGTTTAACTCTGTTTTCCTCTGCTAATTAAAAGGTTCTTGGCCTTTTTAGTGAATATTTAAATTGTATAGACCTTATAGTGACTGTAGTGCATTTGTGTGTATTCCTATCATTTGATTTCTGGTATGTTGAGGATATGAAACCAGCTGTTGTCAGTTGTTGATCTGTAGTTAATTACTGTCCTACACTGGTGTGGCTTCTAGTGTGATGTCCAAACAGTGTGCACTATTATGGAAACAATGTTCTTCTCTCTTTAACAGGGTCACATATCCTTCCTGAAGGAGCTTGTAAGTCCCACTTACTCTTACTTGTGGGTGCGTCCTTCCTTTTCCAGCCAGGAGGTGGCATCACTCACTGGAGAGGGCCAGCACATTGCTTCATTAGTGCTGAAGTGTGTACAGCCTGTTTCATTCATCTTTCATTTTACAGTTTCAGTCTCTCAATGTGACTTTAAACAATTGAATTTGTGCTTTTAGGCTGATAGAAGAGCGAAGCGATGAGCTTTCGGTGGATCGACTCGGTAAAGACTTGAAAGCTGTGGCTAAGCAGGTTAAAGCCACCAAGTACAGGGAGGTGATGAAGCTGTTACGTCTGGTTCTCAGCGGTCAGCAGGTACCCAGCCTCGTCCTGTAGAGTGTTTTCATGACAGATAGTGCGAACTCTGTTTTTCATCTTATACACTACCTGCATATGTGGTTGCAAAGCAAAAACAAATATATACACTGCTTAAAATATAAAGGAACACTTTTTAATCAGAGTACAAGATCAAGTCAGTTCTTCTTAAGTAGCAGTGGGGGTTTTAATCAGTTTCAGCTGAACAACAGGTTCACTAGAGAGGCAACAATGAGACAAGCTACAAAACGGGAATGGTTTTACTGGTGGAGGACACTGATATTTTTTCCTCCTCATCTTTTCTGGCTTCTTTTTGACTAGTTTTGCATTTGGCTAGGGTCAGTGTCACTTCTAATATCATATCTTCTAATATCTGAGCTATAAAATGACCTCCAGCAGGCCACTGGTGTGAATGTCTCGAACCAAACAATCACAAACTGACTTCTTGAGGGTGGCTGAGGGCCCAACATCTTTTAGTGAGCCCTGTTCTCACTGCTGAGCACTGTAAAGCATGTTTGGCATTTACCATAGAGTATTAGAACTGCTTTTAATAGATGAGAGCAGGTTCAACCTGAGCATTGGACAGATGTGAAAGGGTCTGGGGACGCCGTGGAGGAAATTATGCTGCCTGTAACTAGAGCAGGGC